TATATTATATATTATATGTTAATAATAATAATTATTAATATTAGGTATATTCTATTAAATATATATATATGTATAGTTAACATAAAAAATGATTATGAATTACAGTTAAATTAAATAGTAATGACAACCTTTTTTCTCAATATATTTAGAATAAGAAACATTTTCACATGCAAAAATTTGCAAAATAAAAGATTCTTGCTATAAAGTAAATCGCAAAATTCTACAAATCTAAATCTTTTTATTTCAATTCACTGCAATATTGCTCAACTACTACTATTCACTTCTTCCGGCAGCAATGTCCCGATTGAGAATGAAAAAAATACTGCCGTGACCCCAAAAAGACAAACGCCTGTCAATCATCGCGTATCGTCCCCCTTTTGACCCTCGCGTGCATGCAATCTGATAAATTTAATTGGATGAATCTGCGTGCGGTGCAAAGGTAAATCCACGTACGGCGAACGCGGGGTAGAAACGCGGATTGCTATCGAATTATCAAACGAATCTGCCCAGAACAACCCGTTGACATCGTGTAACTCGTTGAGCTAGCCATTTCATATAACCAACGTCCGCTCCAAAAACCTGCGATATCCTTTTTCAATCTCAAAGCATATGACGGTACGCTTATCACATCTGTGCATAATCTTTATACGCTATCACCTGACGTGTCCGAAACTTCTGCTTAAAAATTGAAAATTTAAAATGATTTATTATACCGCTTTGAGTATCAAAAAAATGTAGCAGAAAATAATTTATAATTGTTTGTTTACATTTTATTATATATGATATATATAATATTTAATTTATTGAATTAAAGAATACTATTTTTTACATATTTCAGTACATTTTAAATATCATAAGATGAATATCATATGAAGATCATTGTTTTAAAAGATGCATGAATATAATACCAAACAGTACGAGAGCATACCAATGAGATTTACAAGTCGAAGTTAATATTGACGTAGTTTACATGAACATCTTCGCTTAGTTTACTCGAGAATCGGGAGTAAATATTAGTTTGGTTCCATCACTACTTCTCCTTCCCATCCCTTTTCTGGTGCGATAACGCCCGTATACATACCCCATTCTACTAGCGTTATACAAATGACCAACACTCTACCCCTTTATGCCTCCACTCTACAGTAAAGTCCTGCCACAGATCCTGATAACTCGAGATTAATTGACAAAAAGCTACCGTCACAAATAAGGATGATTACATGAAAATCGTCCGGTGTCGCCATTATCGTGGTCTCTATCACTTCCAATGGTTCTTCCGATACGGAAATCGAAAGGAAGAAGACATTAAATTAACTCCTAACTCGTTTAAAATTAATATTTACATTAAAGAAATAAGACGATTACTCGTTTAAAATAATAGACGATTATATTCCAAAAACACAAATTAACAGCATAAATAAATATTGTAATTTCTCACTCAACAAGATAAGTGTAACATAACAGGTATTGCACATAACAATATTATATTGCTAGAAAATTATAACATTAATTTAATATTATTTCTATGGAAAATGAATGGTATGTTACATTATAAAACTAATAATTTCTTTTAATGTAAAATATATAATCCTCTACGAAATCTCTTCTTCCATTGTCATATATATAATATTAAATAAGGAAATTCTGGTGCAAATGCATGAACATACTCGCGTATCAACATACTCGCGAAACAATTTCCATTTTGGTTTTCGTTAGAGTATTTTCACGTCTGATTATGACCGTCCGTTTCCCCTTGTCTCGCGAGCTATCACAGGCGCCACCTCTGCAAATGTCCTTGCAACCCCTGTATGAATAGTCACTTCTGTTCTCGTCACTCTTTTTTATCCCAAGGGTTTTTTTCGCTTACAGAATTTTCGTAATATTATAAACTCCCCGCGC